GGTAAGTCTTGAATCTGCGGGCTCAGGCAATCCACTCGCCTTGGCCTCCCAAAGTGCTGGGATTACAGGCTGAGCCACCGAGCCCGGCCAAGCTCCTGTGTCTTTTATGCCAGGAATCCCAATGGTATTGATGCTAACAGCAGCACACGCAGTGGGAATGTCCACAGGGTGTACACCTCGAGGGCTGGAACCCTGCCTCCTCTGCTTCCTGTGATGGCTCCAACAACTGGAACAGTGTTTGGCCACAGCAGGTGGGTAAAGGGTTCTCGAGGAACAAGGAATGTTCCAGGCATTGCTAGGTGCTCTCCAAACACGATTGCATTTAATCCTCCCGGGTCCTAATGAGGGAGGGAATGGCCTGGTTCCCATTTCACAGGTAAAGCAAGTTAGAGAGGTTAACTAGCTTTCCCAAGGCCAAGCAAACACAGAGCCAGGAGTCCTCAGTATTGAAACACAGGTCTGGTTGACCCCGGGGACAGAGCTGTCTACAATGCAGCACATCACTTGGCACATACTAGATGCTCACTAAATATTTTCCGAATGAATATGAACAGACAGTTCTCATTTTCAGGAAGAGAAAAAAGTGAAGGTAGTCACACGAAGCTACCCAGGCTGCACTGAAGGTGGCAGAGAGTTTGCAATGGCAGGGATGAGGTGGGGCAGAGGCCTGGCAATCCTGAATAGGCCAAGGGGCAAAACACGAACTCCTGTTGAGAACCTGCTATAGCCCCACGAGAGGCTCGTACTAACCCCTATATGAACTAGGGAAACGGAGGATCACGGAGACAGAGTACGCAGTCCCAAGTCACATATTTGACGAGTGCTGTGGAAGCTGGATCCCAACGCAGGTCTGCGTGGCTTCTGCCCCACCCTTCCGACTTTCACCTGGCCTTCCTGAGATCAAGAGTGAAGGCTGAACATCAACAAGCGCCTTCTTCAGAAGAAACGGGTGAAGGAGTGGGACAGAGTTTCAGTGAAACTCTCCAGTTGTGTTCATGCATCTCACGGATTTCATTATTTTCCAACTGATCTGCTTGTTTCTGCTGTAATATAAGCTGGCTGTTAAGCGACTGCTCAGAAAGCTAGGATGCTGAACTTTTTTGGTAACCAAGCAGAACCCCAAAAAGGGTGACGTAAATGGTTGGGGGTGCAATCAGAGAGCTGCCAGTCAGCCTGCTTGGGTATCTTGGGGTTTGAGAGGGATGCGGCCCCCTCCACAGAGTAAGCTGGCTGTTGTCGAGGGAAGGCCACTTTCCTTCTCTGACATGAACATTTTGCCTCTCAGGGACCTCGGATTGGTCACCTGCAACGAGAATGACCTCACAGAGGGGCGTGAAGAATAGAGATAATGTACACAAACCAGCTGGCAAGGTTTTTGGTGCGTGGTAAGGGCTTAATAACTTGACACTGTCATTATTTTTCATGACTATTTTAACAGCACTTGGGACCAGCTTTTTGTTAGAGATCGGTGCTGAGGAAGTTAGTCTCTAGAAGGGCCTGGGAGCCTTGTTGGGGTCCTCGGCTAACACAGGAAATGGCACCTTTAGCCTCATCTCAAACTAGTGATGCTATACTGCTCACAAGAAATCTCTGCTGATAATGGCTGGATCAGAGACAAATCCATCCACTCACTAGAAAAAATGTCCCTGAAGCCAAGGGACAGTCGATATGATTACTTCATATGAAAAGGACAGTGCGTGCTTATTTGGGGCTTCAGAGAAAATCACATTCCTTATTGGTTCTGATCAAAATTCTATGCCTAGGAGTTATCTAGGTTAGAGGTTACACTCTGGTGGTTTTGGGAACAGGGTGGGAGGGGTCAAGGTAGTCTAAAGACATGTCTGATCTGTCTCAACAGCATTTTTTATTTTTCTGAGTCAGAGTCTCACTCTGTCATCCAGGCTGGAGTTGCAGTGGCATGCTCATGGCCACCACAGCTTCGACTTGCTGGACTCAGGCAATCCCTCTGCCTCAGTCTTCCAAGTAGCTGAGACTACAGATGTGCACCACTATGTCCAGTCAATTTTTGAATTTATTGTAGAGACGTGGTCTCGCCACATTGCCCAGGCTGGTCTCGAACTCCTGGCCTCAGGAAATTCTCTCGCCTCAGCCTCCAAAAGTGCTGGGATTACAGGTGTGAGCCACCGTGCCCAGCCTCAAGAGCATTTTAAAGCAATTTTTAAAAAATGAGTCACCAACATTAAAAAGAATAAGACATCTTATATGTAAGTCCAGATTCCTGGTTCCTCTTGAAAAACACAAACACCTAATAACCTTAGCTCTGCCCTAGACCAATAATTCCACAACTGTGCAGAAAAACGCTGGCTCCTTGAGACGGGGGCTCTGGTCTCCCTACTGAATTGTACTCAGTATACTTGGGCAAGGCCTGTAAAGAAAGTAATAAAGTTTTAAAATCAATTTTCAATATGTCAAAATACCTATGGGGAACCACAACCTTCTTATGATAAGGCTTAGAAGGCCAACTGCAACCTCAAGTGATACTGCATGAAACATATGTGAAAGTCCACATTAATTACCTCATACTGAGTAAGTAAGGTCTTGATCAGCAGTTAATGATGCCTTTGATCAATAAAACACAGGAAGACCACATAAAAAAGCAGTCTGCTGCTCATTTTGTAAAACACGATGCCCATGAGGTCACATAATAAAAGTCCTTGGATGGAGAGAATGGACATCACAGACTCTTCCGGAACCAGTTCACTTTCCATGGACTGGAGGACAGACCCTCAGGTGCTCCTGAGGAAGTACCCCAGGAACGTGGGAGATGGGCAGGGGTCTGATCCTGAAGCCTCTCTTTTCTTGCTCAAGGACGGCCCTCACTCCTATCACCTCTCAGCTCCTTTGAGAGTCTGTCATCCGAAAGCTGCCGAAGTTTCAGAATCCCTAGGAATCAGGGGCTGCAAGCTCCATCACACCACATGGGGGCGCCCTTGCTTCACACTCTGGGATTCCAAGACCCCGGCTGGAGCTGGAGGGAGGGCTCCGCTGCCGGGGCTTGGCAGGTCAGGAGTTGAAGTTCACACAGCGCTGGGTACCACTGCACCTCCACCCCTCATGACTCAGGATGACGCTGTTTAGGGGCTGCTCACCCTTCTGCTTGTATGAGAGACAGGCTGGTAGGCGGCTGGTTCCGCCACGGGGAAGAGAATAACGTAGGAAACCCCAACATGTCCCTGGAAGGAAACCTGATTCAGAAACTGGACAGAGAGCACAGGCTGCCTTCGAGAGAGAGCAGGACACAGAGAGTGCTCACGCTAAACCTGTGCTTTGGCTTCTGTACAAAAGGTTTAATGGCTCTCGGAAGCTCTTTTGACAGAGAGACCAAGAAAGGAAGGCAGAGAAAGAGACCAAAAGATGGAGCGACCGAGACGGAGCGACAGAGACAGATGAGGGAGACAGAAAGGAAAAGAGAGCAAAGAAATGAGAGTGAAAGAAATCCCAGGCTGCCCATATGGGACAGCCAGAAATTCCAGAGCAGCCAGGCAAGCTCAAAGCAGGGTGTCCTGCAAACCTAGGGCCTGAAAGACGCCAGTTCACACCCTGGTGTGAGCTCTCTGGGCTTCAGCCTATTGTTTGGCTTCTCTGAGTCCCATCCCTCCCTGCTGCAAGAACAAAGGCAGCCATGCTTGCCTTTGGGGCTTGATGTCAATACCAGGGGAGGTCATGTGCAAAGCACCTCTCATGGTACTCAGGCCCAGGCAAGCCCTCACTTGGCAGAGACAATTCATGCTGACATATGACAGTAAATAAAGGATTTTAAAGATGCTGGTGGACCATTTACACTGTGTGACTTTAGAATTCTCATGTGTGAAATGAGACCACTGGATGGGCTAGATGAATTCTGTGGTCCTTTTTGGTGTTTTTATGTTCTTGTTTTTTTAATGTCAGGGTCTCACTCTGTCACCGGGGCTAGAGTGCAGTGGCATGATCATGGCTTACTGCAGTCTCCACCTCCTGGGCTCAGGTGATCCTCCTACTGCAGCCTCCTGAGCAGCTAGGACTACAGGCACATGCCACCACTTTGGAAGGCTGAGGTAGGAGGATCGCTTGAGCCCAAGAGTTTGAGACCAGCCTGGTCAATACCATAGTGAGAACTTGTCTCTACAAAATATAAAAAAAATTAGCCAGGCGTGGTGGCGTGTGCCTGTAGTTCTAGCATGGCTCATCTTTCTGTAGAGATGAGGTTTCCCTATGTTGCCTAGGCTGGCTGAGTTGTTTATGATCCTATACTAACATATAATAACTCCTCACACAGCCACCTAAGCCTTTCATTAGCCAAGAGCTTTCTCCAGCTGTTGGATATGTGCCCCTCTATGTGGGGAGAGCTGGAAAGGGACATGGGAGGTGTACAGATGCAGCCGTGATGGTGGTTCGGCACACAGCTCTGGAGTCAGGCTGCCTCTGTTTTGGCCTCAAAGTCCCCCTTACCACAAGTGCAACTGTGGGTCAATGGCTTCCAGTCTCGTTCCTGCAGTTTCCCATTTGAGAAGGGAAGATGACAGTCCCACCTACGGCAGGGAATGTGGGGAAGGGAGTGAGATCCTACTTGTCAGGCACTCAGAACAGGGCCTGGCATGCAGCAAGCACTTCGATATCTGTCAGGCATCATCACTTAGGTGTGTGTTAAAGAACAGGCAGTAATCTTTCTAGAAAGGTTACATGAAGGCTGTCTGATCTAAAATTCAAAGAGAGAAGGAATGTTTTCATAGACGCTACAGAAAGAGCAATAGACTTGGGGACAAAAAGGGACATGCCCCCGACCAAGCTCTGCCGCCAACACCAAATCCTGCAAACTCGGGTTCTGGCCTGTTCATCAGGACGTCTGTTGCTGGGTAGATGCAGGCGGGCCCCTTCCTCTCTGGGTCTCCGCTGCCCCATCTAGAAGAGGAAGCCGTTGGACCAGATGATGATCCCAAGGGCCTCCTGGTACTGCAGGGCCTGTGTGTCTCCCAGCCGTATGGCCACAGCTGGGTCCTTACCTGAGGTACTCATAGAGCCCATACATGGGCAGGAAGTCGATGTCCGACAGGAACATGTAGGGCGTGCTGATGTGCTTCATGGCCACGTTGCGCAGCAGGTTCACGGGGTAGAACTGGCCCTCCTTGTACACGATGTGGTAGCCCACGTTGTGGCGGCCCATGAGCACCTCGGAGCCCTGTGCGTAGCGGAGGAACTGCTGGGCCTCGGCGTCCGACAGGTAGAGGGCCAGGCTGATGGGCCCTTCCCAGTGCTTACAGATGGCCTCCAGCATCTGGAGCCTGGAAGAGAGAGGCAGGTGAGCCACAGGGCCAGGGCCATCCCTACGTCACTGCCGGCCTCCCGTGGGCCGCCCCATCAATACCTGGTCAACCAGCTGCCAATCAAATACTGCTTTAAGCGTGCCTCACTCTGCTCCTCAACCTATAAAACAGGCACTGAAACACTCTTCTTGCTGGTTCTAGTCTTTCACTGCTTCCAATGGAACAGGTGGACATCAAGTCACATCCACGGTAAGACTCAGACCTCTCCTTGTTTCAATGGAGAGAGGTGGGGGAGGGTGATTATATTACATATTGTAAATGTATATTATATATATTACATATATTATATCTAAAGATCCTTTTTCAGCCCCAAACTCCTATACTTCTTTCTCAGGATAAAGGTATAAAACAGTTCTTCCGATCCCTTAAAGCAGTGACCTGCCACAGAGGACTCAGGCAAACTGAGGTCACCGAGTTACAAAGAGCATTAAAATAAGCAGTAAAGGCAAGAGTAGTAACAACCACAATGATGGACACATCCCTATGTGCCAGGAGCCTTCCAGAATTCTTCCAACAACTTGAGCACATTCTTCCCACTTTCCTGACGAAGGCATGGAGGTCCCCAAAGTGGGGTCAGCTCTGATTCTTGACTTAGAGACAAGATGTGGGTAGAAGGGTACCTTGATGGGGCCTCAGGGGGGAAAATAAAAAACAACACTGGGTGTTTGGCAAAGGGAATAGAAAAGCAGGTGGATGTTGGAAATAAAAGTGCACCTCCTTGATTCTGTCTATTTTTCAGAGCCCTCACAGCCCAGGGGCTCCAGCCAGCTCTACAAGGCTGCCTTAGAGATGCTAAGCAGGAAAAGTGAAAGAACAGAGCCCAGAGAGAAAAACAAAAGGGGTTTCCAGCAGAGAGGGTTCTGCAGAAATGTTTGAAGAGAAATCTATAAAGGTACTTTTTTTTTTTCAAAGGCATTAGAAGTGCCTGGTACATAAAATCTATGGCTAAGAAACAGCAAAAGCCTATTTCCATTTTTTTTCTGACCCAGCAAGAGGTACATAATCAGCAGTCTCCTGGTCAGAATGCCCACTTTTATTCGGACAATTACCAGGAAATCGATCCCATGCATTTCCATGCTCCTAAACAAAAGAAAATGGGCACACCTATCCTGTTTCAATGGCTTTTTCGATGGCATCCAGAGTTTCCTGTCAGTAATTTTGTGAATTGGTAGTGTCCAGATTTGCTTCCTCTTTCAATGTGGAGGATTAAGATGATCGCCAGGGTAAAATGTCCTCCATTCCTCATTCTTTATAACGCTAGCTAACCAAATTGGTTGGCGCCATTTCTTTTTCTTTTTTCTTTAAATGAGACATTTTTAAAAATACATATTTTTATTTTATATAATGGAGCCATTTCTTAAAGAGCCACTACATTCTCCAAGATACCCAAGCTCACTGAACTCTGCATTCAGCCTCTGCTGTAGGGCTCTGCCCCCTCCTGAGATCTGAGGCTCTGGGATTTTTGAATTCTCTCTCCTGTACCTCAGGTTTTACCTTCTGCAAAATGGGGGAACTCCGTACTTCAAGGAAGAACTATTTGTACAAATCTTTTAAGAACTGGAGAGTAAAGGGCAAGAAGAATTTCTAGGCTGTAGATATGAGAGCTGCTGGGGGCATGGGAGGTAGGAGTGTGTCTGGGCATGAAGAGAGGACCCCCTCTACTCCAGACTGTCTCAGTGACTCAGATTTTTGACTCTGTCTGAGTTTTCAAAGCCCCACCTGCCACAGTCCTGCTTCCAAGCTCTGGTAAGAGCTTCGAGTAAGAGCAGAGACAAAATGCTTAAGGTCCTCAGAAAAAAGGTGCTGTTAATGTGAAAAGCCAGTTGAGCTTTATGGGAGATGCTGCCAGACGCTGTTCTGTGGGACCCTCCATGAGCAAGAAGTCCATGATGACACCACCCACCTTTGTGTCTATGGTCACCAGGCTCCAATCTCTCCAATGTTCTGTCCCTTAGAATCAAACTTTCTGCCGGAACTTGAACAGCGACAAACTGAGGTTTATAATAAAGATGATAATATGTAAATATGATAGTGACACCATAAATCAATCTCTACTTGTTGCTTGCAACATGCCAGCCACACAGTGGCTGTTATCACCCAATATTCATAGTAAGTCTAGACAACGGAAATGCTCATCACCATTTTACAAGCAAGGAGGTTCATGGAGGTGAGATGACATCTTTCAAGTCACGCAGTTACTAAGTGCAGGCGAGGGATTCACATCCAGACTCGTCTGACCCAAAGCCTGAGGACAGATCCTTCTTCAGCATGCAAACCAGAATAAGAGTGTGCTCTTCCCTTGGTGTGGATGCCTCTCTGCTCCGTTCCCTCCTTGGTCCCTCTTGGGGTAGGTCTCAAGGCTCCACAATCCCCTTGTCCCTTCTCACACTCTCTCCCCACACCTGTTCCCTGAGGGCTGTCCCTGTGCAGCTGTTGGTAATGCAAAGCTGTGTCCAGTCTCTCTTTGGTCTCCTAGAGAGAAGATCAAGAAGTACCCGGGACAGCAAGAACTAGACTAACGGAGAATATGTCAAGAGGAGATTCGTTCTAAAACCATAGAATTGTCAGTTTGAAAGGAATTGTAGTGATTGCTTTTAATCTGATTATATCATTTTTAGGATGAAAGAGCTAAGCTTCAGAGAGGGGAATGTGCCCCGCTCAAGGGCATGGGATGAGTCCATGGGAGATGCTGACACTAGAACCCAGAAGTCCTGACTCTGGGAGTCATGGGACAACCTATGCTTATTTCCACTTCCTCATGGAGTCCACCATTACTGTATGCTGGGGTGAGTGGGCAAAGGCTCAGGTATGGCTAGAGAGATGTCCAAAGGATCTAGAAACAGGCAAGGGTTATTTCAGGGAGTCCTATGAAGACTGGATGCCTCACACAGCCTCTACAGTTATAAAGAAGACGTGAGGAGATGGCCAAGTTGGAAACCTAAAAGATCGGGTTGGAAGGGATTCCAGAGTGTCAGTGGGCCTTGGCAACCCAGACAGGTGTCCACTCAGCCTCTGCTGGAATGGAGGACTCACACCATGCAAGGTGGCCCATTCTAGTGTATTTTTTTTGTACACTGCCACAAGGTGGGCTGCATGGTATATCACCACGGCTGGCAACTGTAGGTGCTGGGGTCAGGCAGACCTGAATTTGACTTCTGATCTGTGCCAGTATCACTGGGCCAGTGGTGATGGTTCTTTGAGCTTCAATTTCCACATGTACGTACATTGGGAATAATAATACCTTCAGTAGATTACAAAATAGTTACAAATACCCCCTCCCTGTACCCATACCCTTTGGTAATACTCTCCCACGCTGACTCTAGGCTGGTCACAAGACTTGCTTTAGTCTATGGGACATTAAAAAACACAACACAAGCAGCAACATCAGAAGGAGCTTGTGTAGCAGGGCTTGCTCTCAGAGTTGTGTGGCTGCTGCTAGGTGACCAGGCCCAGACCACCTTGCTAGAGGATGAGCTACATGACCCCAGTACCTTATAGTCCTAGCTGTTGGTCAGATAATTCCCAGAAAATCCACCTAGTTGATGGCGGACACATGAATGAGCCCTGCCGACACTGTCAATCCAAAAAATCATGAGTTCATAATAGTGGCTGTAAGCTGCTAAGACTCAGGATAATTTGTGAAGCAATAGATAACTGATACAACACCTAGTTGAACCTGAGTAGTAAATGAGATAATTATATAAGGTGTCTGGCACAAAGCTAGATACATAGTTGGTGTATAATAGATCAATAGATGATAGCTGTAATTTCCTTCTCAGGTTCTATTTCTTCCTTTTTTTTGGAGTCAGGATCTTGCTGTCACCCAGTCTGGCGTGCAGTGGCATGATCATGGCTCACGACAGCCTTGACCTCCTTCTGGGCTCAAGTGATCCTTTCACCTCAGCCTCCCAAGTAGCAGGGACTACAGGCCTGCGCCATCATGCTTGGCTAATGTTTTTACTTTTTTTTTTGTAGAGAAAAGGTTTTGCTATGTAACCCAAGCTGGTTTCAAGCTCTTGGGCTCAAGCCATCCTCTCGCTTCAGCCTCCCAAAGTGCTGGGATGACAGGTGTGAGCCACCAAGCTCGGCCTATTTCTGCCTTTCAAACATGTATTCATCCAACAAATATTTATTGAGTGTCTCCCATGTGCCAGGTGTGCTAGACAGACAAGGGTCCTGCACTTTGGGAGCTTGTATTCTAGTGGGGGAAGACAGTCAACAAACCACACTAAGGTAAATTCAGACAGAAAGAAGGTATAGAGAGGCAGCAGAACAGGGGAACAGAATGAAGAGTAACTGTGAGGGCTGGTCACTTTGGAAGAAGTGAAACTGGTCATCTAGTGCTATGGTCTGACTGTGTCTCCCACCAAATTCATATGTTGAAATTCTAACCTCAAGGTGATGCTATTAGAAGGTGGGGGTCTTTTAGAAGAATTAGGTCATGAGGGTGGAGCCCTCAGGGTCAAGATCATAGTTCTTATGAAAGAGGCCCAGAGAGCCAGCTAGTCCCTTCCACCACGTGAGGACACAGAGAGAAGGTGCCATCTGTGAACCAGGAAGCAGGGGCCCTCACCAGACACCGAATCTGCCAGTGCCATGATCTTGGACTTCCCAGTCTCTGGAACTGTGAGAAATAAATTTCTGTTGTTGATAAGCTAATCAGTTTAAGGTATTTTGTTAGAGAAGATAATGAGAAGAATCTGGCTTTGTGAAAGTCTGAGGGAAAAGCTTTCCTGGAAGAGGAAATAGCCCTGGGGGTAAAAACGAGCTGGGCACATTCAAGCAAGAAGACGCAAAACTAGTGTAGATGGAGCATAGGAAAGTGAGGTGCAGAGGAGAGATGAAGGAGTTGGGGGGTGGGCAGGGGCCAGTTCAGATGGGCCTCAAAGGCCGTATCAGGCAGACTGGCAGGTGGGATGACATTCCAAATGTAATGAGAAGTAATCGAGGGTTTTGAT